GTGGTCACTAGTGAATCATCTAGATTTGCAAATGTACGTTCGATATCCATATGCACATAATGTGCAAATATCACAATTCTATATCCTTAATTTTCACCAACTACCATTATTTGCAACATAGAAGTTCTAATACTATAAATTTACTATTCAAAAAATAAATACACAAAATACTTTAGAAACACAGTTGTGTTTCTAACATTTTTCTACTTCTCCCAAAAATTACTATCTTCACTCAAAAAAATACAGATAAAAATTCCTTATTCATATAAATTCGAAAGAAGTTCACGGAAATCTTCAAAACCACAAAGAAAAAAACGCGACACTTTGAATAGATATCACCGAGCTTTGGGATTCTTACCAAGAAACGCAAGTGAATGACCTAAACTAGAATCGTGTGAATACGTGAGGTGACAGCACGATTTCAACCAATCTGAACGAAAAATTTTTTTATCAAAAAAGATTCATGCTTTATGTACGGGAAAATAAAGATTGAAAAACTTTTTCGTCACCCATTGAACGAGATTATAAATCCATTAAAGTTTAATAGAAAAATTAATAAATGAAATTTTAAAATCCAATTATTTTTAATTATATCAATTAATTGCATTTTGTACAAGTGAGACTGCACTTTTTTTTTGTTAAAATTCTTGAACCATGAATTGTGCTTTATATTCTGTCCAATACTACTATTCTGGTTATATTTCAGTGGGTAGGGGAAACTCAACGTTAAGCGACTGTAATTAAGAGGAATCAAGTATGCAACGTGTACGTCGGACGTTGGATTACCGTTTTCAGAAACGCCTGAAATACTCGGATAAAGGAAAAGGTGGAATGAGGGGGATACTTTCAAATATCACTCCTATCAATATAGAATTATGTGCTCTTTTTAAAAATTCACTAATTCCACAATATTTCAACTATATATTCTTTCTCATTTTTAGAAAAAAAAAAACTCATCCATATTTCTGCAAATGATATAAAGAAGCAAAACGTATATCAATTTATTTCAATTTATACGCTCCGTTTCATGAAATTAATTAATTTCTTTTCAAAAACAAAAATTAAAAATAAAAGAGAAACAAAACAATCTTTGAATTTAAAACCATTCATATGTGTCATTTAGAGTGTAATGTAATCGGAATTTCTGATTAATTTTCATTTAAGCAAAATGCAAATAATTCAATAAACTTTGTCAATTATTTGAGAGAATGATCGCGACGAACAAGACCCCCCACACTGTAACGGGCGTAGCAATTTCCGACACCCTTAACTCTCGTCCCCGTGATTTCCTTTGAATTAATATCGAGCAATTTCACACAAGATCAACTTCAGATGTTGTCATATTACAGAGGAAGTAATCGGATTTTAGAAGACAGAGCTTCCAGTATAAATTAACCAAGAAACGATAAAGTAATAACGGGAAAAATTAACATAAAATAAAATTCAAAGAAATTGATGAAAATTTTAATGATGTAAACAATTTTCTTTTTTTGAGTATTATTTGCAGATTTTTATAAGTTTCATTCGGTGCGGGAAACTTGAAAGTAGAGAACGAAGCTTAAAGGAAGGTGATTTTATTTTCTTGTTATTTAGTCTTTCGCCCATTAGGAAAATGGTTGAGAGGAAAAGAGGGAGGGAGAGAGAGATTATTTGACCAAGGAGAAAACTTTTTAACTTTTCCTTCAAACAAATAATTCAACATAGATTGGTTTGTTTTTCAAGTTGTTTTTGGAAAATTAACAGCATGTTCAATATTTACCAGAAATAATTGTCTTAAACAATAATAATTAGAAATTTTAATTTCTCTATCTTTCTAAAATTTGATTTGAAAATACATTTCGATTTTTGAAGAAACCAGATTTGCACTCGATAATTAATTTTTAAAAAAATGCAAAAAGGACTTTTCAAACTAAAAAAAAGTAGTAAAAAAGTAGCTGTCGAAAAATTAAACTTGACGACTAAAATAAACTCGTTTTAGAAACTTCACAAAACTGACGAAAAATTCCATTACATATTTTTGATTTTCCTGACTTTTTCTTAATTTTTATCAAAAATATTTACTTCTTTCCTATCCTGCTAATAAATTGAATTTCTGCAACAAATTTTATTATTTATGAAAGAATTTAAATATTTATAAAAATAATTTAATTCTTGCAAAGAATTTTATAAAAACTTATAAACAATTGATTTCTTACGACTAATTTTATGCAAATACTAATTTAAATAATTGAATTCCTGAGAAATTTTTATTGTTCATGAAAATAATTAAGCTTTTACGAAGATTTTTACAAAAATTTTTTAAATAATTGAATTCTATTTGAAAATTTTATGAAAATAGTAGATATTGAATAGCATTGAATTGCGAAAAGTTCTTAAAAATAATTAAATTTTACCAAGAGTTCTATTAAAATTTTTGACAATAATTGAATACTTGGGAACGATTTTATTAAAATTTTTCAAAATAATTGAATTTCCCAGAAAAAATTAATTACTTTTATAAAAATAATTGAATTCTTGTGGTGAATATTGTTATTTATGAAAATAATTGAATTTTGCAAAGAATTTTATTAAAATGCCTCAAAATAATTGAATTTTTGGGAATAATTTTGTTAATTTGTGGACATCATTGAATTGTTTCGAAAAATTATTTATGTAAATAATTGAATTCTTGTGAAGAATTTTATTAAAGTCGAAAAGAATAATTGTACTATTTCAAAACAATTTAATTAAAATGGTATTTAAAATAAATGATTTCTTTCGAACAATTTTATTAAAATATATGATATTAATTGAATTTCTGTGAAAAATTCTAATAATTTTGTAAATAATTGAATTCTTTCGAAGAATTATATAACAACATTTTTTTAAATAATTACATTTTTCGAGGAATTGAAATTAAATTTTTAAGAATTTTTTTCGAGCAATTCTTGTAAAATTATATAAAAAGTAATTGAAATCCTGCGATAAATGTTATTATTTATAAAAATAATTTAATTATTGCGAAAAATGTTAGTAAAATGTTTAAAAAGAATAGAATTTGTGTAAAAAATTTTGTTATTTTTAAAAATAATTGAATTTTTTATAAGAATTTTTAGTCTGTCTGACTAAAATTGACTAGAACTACTGATTTACAAATAAAAAAATTATAGAATAGAGCTGTCCGACAAAAATTGACTTGAACTACTGATTTACAATTAAAAACCTATAGAATAGGCATGTCTGACTAAAATTGACTTGAACTACTGATTTACAAATAAAAAAGGGTCGTCTGACTAAAATTGACTTAAACTACTGATTTACAAATGAAAAGACTGTGGAGAGTAGATGTCTGACTAATATTGACTTGAACTACTGATTTACAAATAAAAAAGGGTCGTCTGACTGAAATTGACTTAAACTACTGATTTACAAATGAAAAGACTGTGGAGAGTAGATGTCTGACTAATATTGACTTGAACTACTGATTTACAATTAATTCAATTAATAATTAAATAGTTGCTAAGAATTTTATTATAATTTTCAAATATAATTGAATTCCTGACAAGAATTTTACTATTTACTCGAAAATAATTGAATTATTGTGAAAAGTTTTATTAAAATGTTTAAAAAGAATTGAATTTCTGAGAAGAATTTTATTATTTATGAAAATAATGGAATTCTTTATAAGAATTTTTTTAAACATTGTTTCAAATAATATATTTTTTCGAAATATAATAAATATACTGTCTGTCTGACTAAAATTGACTTGAATTACTGATTTGCAAATAAAAAAAATATAAAAAAGGAAAGCCTGATTGAAATTGACTTATATACTACTACTGATTTACAAATGAAAAAACTGTGGAGAGTAGATGTCTGACTAAAATTAATTTGAACTACTGATTTCCGAATATTTTTTGAAAATAATTGAATCTTTTTAAAGAATTTGATTATAATTTTTAAGAATAGTTTTTTGATTTCTAGTATTAGCGAAGTTAAAGTAGTGGAAATTGTAAAAAAACAGAAATAGTAGTTTTTAGTGGCTGAAATATAAAAAAGTACCCAAATAGTAATATAAAGTATAAAAAGTAGTAAGTAGTAGGTTTTAGTAGTTAAGTGCAAAGCCTGATGAATCTAATATTACTTTCAGTCCAAATGAGAATGAGCAGCTTTTTTATTTGAAATATAAAAAAGTACCCAAATAGTAATATAAAGTATAAAAAGTAGTAAGTAGTAGGTTTTAGTAGTTAAGTGCAAAGCCTGATGAATCTAATATTACTTTCAGTCCAAATGAGAATGAGCAGCAGTGAAGCGATGCGATGTCTGACCTAAGATCGATATACTTCACTTAAATCCTAATGCGTCGTGTTCTTTATACGCGTACCTACAACTTTCATAACCGTTACATCTTTAAGGTTGCGGCTTAAAGAAACTTTTATTTATTTAAAAATAAATTTTGTTGTGCATTTTTTTGTGTGTATGTGTGTGTGTGTGTGTGTTATTATTCGACTTATGACTTTCAGAACTTATGGCGGCACAAGGGTTTCGCTCCAACGAAACTCATCAGCTCGTGGGAAGCCATTTGGACCGACAATCGAGCGTGCTCTCGAGAGTTAGAAGGCACTTTGGAAGAAATGCTATCCAGAAGTTTTTCCAGACTTTTATCGATATAGATGACTGAAAGTCTGGCTGTAGTACATTTCCCGAGAATTTCGATCAAATTAGAAAGTTCTAATTGACACGTGTCGAAGTTTATTTTCAATATACATCCAAGTGAGAGAAAAACTACGTTTCTGCGCCGCATTACATGTACCCTCAACATAAAAAGGGATTAAACAGATAATACTCCTTGAAACAAATGTCGAACTTTTGTCCTGCATTTGTTAGAACTTATTTCATTTTTTCCTACGTTTTAACATTCGAGTAATTTATTTATTGTCAAGGAAATATTTCTTTACCATTGTGGGAATAAATTATTGCAAAGGTACTTCAAATAATTATAATCAAATTTAGAATCTTACCTTGATTTCCTCCATTTTTGCCTTTTAGGAAAACAACTTCGTCAAAAGGACACAGATCCAGATCTGTAAATAAAAAAATTAACAATTAGTTTACATTTGTCAAAGAAGTTGTTTTTGTATTAATGTGTTATTATACTCTATAGAGAGTAATAGAGAATGAAATATTTGGGAAATATTTGAAAATCCCACGCCCACAGACTCGTAATTCTTTGTTACTATTACGAAAGTCGAAAATGCACACAAAATGTGTTTGCGGTAAGAGAAATGTTTTATTAAGGATCTTACACACGTTACCTTATCCGTGTGTGCATGCGATATAAAGCCTGGTATTAAGGTTCAAAGTAATCTTTTGAGCCTCAAGCATTCAGGATCCAACTAAGTCTAATTTATTCGGATTTACATTTTGTATTCGTCTATTTTGAAGAATTTTTAAAGAATTCTAAAAAGCCCCGTTTCACAAAGACTCAAAATTCAAGTATTAAACAACTCAATTTAAATCGACTAATTTCATTTTCGTACGACAACTTTGCTTGACCTGTTTGCAAACTATTTACTCAATGATGAACCTTGTACTTGCAAATAGAAGCATCCTTTGATTCTGCGGTATGTCACTCGACTCAACATTCATGATAAATTAGTATTTACAGCATTCCTCAAAGTAATTAAATTTACTTCTAAATTATTTATAGCGTAGCCTTTATGCAATTTGTCCGGAAAATACGTTTCTTAAGTTAAATAAAATCCAAAAGCACTGAAAAGTTTCCCCTCCTATTTGTAGGATTATTGTCGTTGTAAATATCATATTTCTCTAAAAATCCAAATGTTGTCATTGTATAATTTTCGAATCAAAAAGAACGAAAGAAATGTTATAAAGAATTTTGCGACATGAATTCTGTTATTTTTACAGAGGACACGATGATATCGCTGGATTTAATCGTTTGTGAGGAGGAGGAGGGGAAGTTTGAAAACGTAGTAGAAACACAAGTTACGAAAATCACTTCCAATGGTCTCGATTTTGAAACTATCATTGCAATATCTAGAAAAGCATAAAGTTTATCGAGTGTAATGTTGAATCATTCATGAAAGGCAGTTCTTCACTTGTTTTCTGTTGACACTTATCTATCCAGACAACTAACAAATCGAGAAAAACTTCTTGATTTCAAGGAATTAAAGAAGCTTGAACCAATTTTCGAAATCTTTACTTAATAACTTCTATCCTATCACTAATTTATAAAAGGAGATGGAAAAAATCCAATATAAGAAAATATAAAAATCTACTAGTACTCTGAAGTTAACGAATAAATGAGGAAAGAGATTATTCGTTTGCAGGTGGAAGATTAAAGGAGTAAATGCAGTGAGGCAAAGATAAAAGAATAAAAAGATATATCGTTTCAAAGTAAACGAGTATTCTCTCATCACTTCTGATCTTTATAAATTAAAAACCTTCAAAGGGAGCACGAAATCATTCACTAAGTTAGCAGGGTTGCCACAGATCCGGGAAGTCAGGGAATTCAAGGAAAAGTCAGGGAAATTAGAATTGGTCAGGGGAATCAGGGAAAAGTCAGGGATTTTTATTAAAAGTACTGGAAAATAAATTTTTAGAATTTAAAACAAAATTCGGAATTTTTGTGCCTTTTTTGTTTGCCTCATAAACTATGAAATTGACAAGAATTCTAATACAAAACCTTCAATTTTTTTCTATTTCTGACAATAATTTCTTTTTTATTAATTTCATTTTTAAAGAACTATCATGAAATTATTACTTATAAATTATTTAATGAATAATTGTACTCAAAATTTTCAAAATTAATTAGATTTCAAAAGACTTGTGTTTACAACCTTCATAAATAGATGAACTTCAAAGGATTCAATTTGAAATTTTAGAAAATATCAATTTTTTATGAATTTAAAATTTCAAACAGGAATTTTAAGAACAACTGATTACAGAAATTCAATTATTTTCAAAAGTGATAAACTTCTTCGCTTAAATTCAATTATGTTAAAAAATTTTTAAAAATTCTCGTAAAATTTCAATTATTTTTAAAAGTAATAAATTTCTTTTTCGCAATTTAATTATTTTCAAAAAATTTAATAAAATTCTTGTCAAAATTTCAATTATTATCAAAAATTTTCCTCATTTCAATTATTCCTAATATCTATTTTAATAAAATTTCCAAAAAGAATTGAATTATTTAAACCAAATTCTAATAAAAATTCCACAGGAATTCAATTAATTATTAATTTTTTATAAATTTCTTCGCACCAATTCAATTATTTCGAAAAAATTAAATAAAATTCTTTTAAAAATTCAATTATTTGAATAAAATTTAACGAAATTCTTTACAAGATTTAGTTAATAAAATTGCAATTTTAATAAAATTTCCCTATACAAGTCAATTATTTTCAAATCAAATCTTCTTAAGAATACAATTATTTTCAAAAATGACAAAATTTTTCACATAAATTAAATTATTTTTAAACATTTTAATAAAATGTTTCGCAATAATTTAATTATTTTCGAGTAAATAATTAAATTCTTAGCAACTATTTAATTATTATTTAAATTAATTGTAAATCAGTAGTTCAAGTCAATATTAGTCAGACATCTACTCTCCACAATCTTTTTATTTGTAAATCAGTAATTTAGGTCAATTTAAGTCAGACAGCCCTTTTTATATTTTTATATTTGTAAATCAGTAGTTCAAGTCAATTTTAATCAGACAGACCGTATGTTTATTATATTTCGAAAAAATCAATTTTTTAAAACAATGTTTATAAAATTCTTATGAAAAATTCAATTATTTTCAAAAATGACAAAATTTTTCACAAAAATTCAATTCTTTTTAAACATTTTAATAAAATTTTTTACAATAATTCAATTATTTTCATAAATATAACAATATTCATCACAAGAATTTAATTCATAAATAATAATATATTTCTCTGGAATTTAATTCTTTAAAAAAATTTCTAATAAAATTTGTTGCAAGAATTTAATTATTTTCATAATTGACAAGACTTATCGTAGAATATAAATTATTTTTTATGCAATTTTAAATAAACTGATAGAAAATTGCATTTATTTTTAAAATTACTTTTTAAATTTGTTCAAAAACTTCAATTATTTTAAAAAATTTTGATAAAATTCTTCATAAAAATTAAATTTAAAAAAATGTTCAATTTTTTAATAATTTATTTATCTTTCTATTTAAATAATTGAATTCTCGAAAAATTTTCTAATAAAAATTGATTAAAAAATGAATTTCATTAAAAATTTTAAATTATAATTGAATATTAAAAGCAATGTAGCGTGAATTTTTAGAAATAATTGAATCTTGTAGAGAATTTTTTTTTAAATTGTACCTATGAAAATAATTAAATTCCTCAGAAGAAATTTGTGATTTATGAAAATAATGGAATTTCCCCAAAGAATTTTATTAGAATTTTTGAAAATAATTGAAGTATTTAGCAATTTTTTATAAATTTCTTAGCAATAATTCAATTATTTTCAAAAATTCTAATAAAATTCTTTGGAGAAATTCAATTATTTTCATAAATAATAAAAATTATTGCAGAATTTTAATTATTTTTAATACAATTTGAATCAAATTTCTGGAAAAATGTAATTATTCTTAAAAATTTTATCACAATTCGTCGAAAGAATTCAATTATTTAAAAGTTTGTTGATAAATTTCTTTATGAGAATTCAATTTTAAGTTACTTTTAATTATTTAATAAATGATTTATTTTTGTATTTAAATAATTGAATTCTCGTAGAATTTTGTAATAAAAATGATTAAAAATTGAATTTTAGTCAAAATTTTAGATAACAATATTAATAATTGAATATTTAAAGCATTATAGCATGAATTTTTGGAACTAATTGAATTTTGAAAAGGTTCTGTAGAATTAATTTTTTCGAAAAAGTCTAATGTAATTTTTTTGAAATTATTAGAAGTGTTTATTTTTTAATATATATTTAATTGAAGAATTTCGAATATTCAAAATTTCTCTAAAATTGAAAGGTAAACAAATGGATTTGAAAATTCTCAAAGAACTTTTTCAAGAATATATAAAAATAATTGATTTAATGAAGAAGTGTAGTTAACAATTCTAGAAAATAATGGTGAAAATAATTTTGAAAAAGTTACAATAACAATATTTTTATATCATAAAATAATTATTTTATCACTCGGTTATCTTTAATTCTTCATGTTTTATAATTTTTCATACGTTATTGAATTTCAGAAGGTTTGAATATTCTTCAGGGTCAGGGAAAAAGTCAAAATCAGTCAGGAAGAAGTCTGGAAGTCAGGGAAAAGTCAGGGAAAAACAAAATTAAATTTTTGTGGCAACCTGACTAAGGCACTCGTATTATAAGAGTATTTTTGATTTTTTCTTACTTTCGCCTCTTTTTAGAAGTAAAGATATTTACTTAACGCGGATGCTAAATAATTATACACTTTATATATTATTAAAATAAATTCATAATTTTCTGTGATGACTTTTAAGACTATGGCCCAACCAGAACAAGTATTTTAACAATTCGCATATTGAAAAATAGTGAGAGAAATTTTCGAAGGCATTGAAGATTTGAAAAATGTGTGAGAATTGCGAAATACAGTATGTGAATAGCTGAAAGGTCCACTCCTGAAAATGATATCAAAGAGAGCTGCAAAGCCGATCGTGTGAATGCATTTCTGGCACCACTGGATCAGGCATAATGGCCTACTTATGGTGCCCCTCACGAGCACGGAATGCCTCAAGGAAGTCTTGCTATATTACAAATGCAAGAGTTGGAGAGACAGATCAGAGTCAAGACAACGTGAAGAGCATGCCATTCTACGGAATAGCATCACATTTACTCTTGTATACTGCTTTCTATGGATGCAATTTCGTATCTGCACCGCTCCTTTTGTGGTCAAACGTTATACTATCTTGGAATTTGCATGAAAATATTTCGCAATTGAATTGATTATTCAAATTTACCAGCATTGAAACAATTAACAGGCAAATTACTTGGTTTTATTTTGTCTTATGTTCGACAACATTGGGGGCAAATT